AATAAGACATTACCGATTGAAACGGAAGTCTCAGACAGAAATGTAGAGACTCTTGCTAAACCATTCTTACTCAAAAAGATACTCTATCCTTAAGACATCGTTTGATCATCCCAGAAAACACTGAATCACATGGCATAGCCCAGATAATGTAACAAAAAGATTACTGACTTCAGCGTCTCAGACTCTTGGATTAGACAGTTTGTGACAGATGTTGGAGTATACAACTACTACTTTGAATAAAATCAACTGACAACACCAGCCAAGAAAATAGCTCCCTTCCACCGCCCGCATAAACCAAGAATAACATTGAGATATAACATCCATTCACAATCAAAACCTCCACAGAAGAAATGTCCTGATCTCGAAAGACTGATTGAATCTCATTTCAACCCTGATCACACTAAACTTAAAGTTGGTTGGTTTTGTTTTATAGCATATCAATCTCAGTGGGTCATTTAATGCCATTAAAATTTTTGAAATAGATACATAGTGATAGTTTGGTAAAAAAAAGTTGTGTATGTATACATATATATTTGAACCATTTTTCAATTACTCATATTTTTGAGTACAATCATATGTATTACTGGTAATTTTTTTCAATAACGTATTGCTGGTAATAGGTTTTTTTTTCAAAAATTAATTTCTGGTAATAGTTTTTCACAAAGTATTTCTGGTATTAAAACCTATTTTTACACTTTTATAATGCTTTTTACCTCAGTTTCAGGGTTAACTATTTGCCCATAACTGGGACCCTAACAAGTGCTATCACCCTGGGTCAGGGTGAACCTGGGAACACCAGCAATTAAGAGGTGGTTCCATGCTCCTCAAAACCTCCTGAGCAGAGGCCTTGCAGTTGGACGTAGTTTATTGTATTACTTTGGACGTGGATGTAGTTTATCTTTATACCCGGGACGCTCCATTGGGGAGGTCTTACCCCTCTGCAGAGGTGCAGTCAGCATATTACTACAGCCCGAGCCGATAGGGCACTAAATTTAAGATACTGGTAGAAAATAGAACATATACCAATATTAATTCCAATCATTACAAAGTCAGTCGCCAAACATAAACTATAACGAACCGACACATGAGGAAATTAAGAAAGTTATTAAAATACTAAAGAATAGTAAAATGTCATTCGATATTGAGGCTGATTTTTTTTGAAAATATCTTACTTTCTCTCCGAATTCATATTATGAAAGAAACCTGGAATCTGAAATACATCACTAAAAAGTGGGGTTTGTCACGCATTGATGCATTATGGAAACAGAAAGGTAGCCCTCAAGGCCCTCACACATACAGAGGTATTTCAATCAGATGCGTCATGGTGAAAGTATTAATGAACATTATGTTAACTAGGCCCTTATTGTTTTATGAATGTCAACTCACACCACAATTTGTTTTTCGTTCTGGTAAAGGATGCAATGATGGCATATATACCAAACAATTCCAAGAATTTGCTTACCTCTCTAATAGAAAATTGTATAACCTTTGTCGACCTCAGAGCAGCATATGACCATATCAATAGAGATTTCTCATCTATCAGAAACCGTCTTTCAAACATCGAATCCGATGAATGTATCAAATAGAGAAACTGTAATGATCTACAGAAACTTTCATGCCTGTGAGGACCCCAATACGGGCATGTTACAGTCCTCATCAGGAGTACAAGAAGGAAAAGAGAGTCCCAGTTTATTTGATCTCTTTCTTGACTATGCCCTGGGCATTTACAAATACAGATATTACGAGATGAGCACTGACCATTTAAGCAATCATTACCACATCCCAAACAAATCTACCAATAAAAGACAACGATCCTGCTTTCTCTCCCGAGGCCAATGTACTGATGATGAGAGCGGCTATGCTGATAGGTAATCATAGTTAGCATATGAATGATGTTGATCAGAAAAACAACAGCCTCTACCAAGTGTTCCAAGAAATAGGACTCAAGATAGACCTTTTCCAACACTGAATCTATGATCTGGGATTGGAATGAAAGTAATAATGGCGCATATCCTGAATCCATCATAAAAAATCACGATGTGGAATTAGTAAATTTGTCAGTTATAACAAATCTAGTATCGGAGAAAAGGAAATTAAACTGCGCCAGAGGTAGTTTTATTCAACACCGCAAACCGCTACAAAACCAAAACCTTAACCTTTAAAGCCGAATTATGATCATAAATAATCTCGTTAGATCAAGAATTTCATATGGATGCCATGCTTGTTGCCAAAACCGTTCAAAATCTATACAACTTTCTAAGATTGATGGTTAAAATGGCTTTGAGCGAGTGAAGCCAGAATGTCTTCTTTTAACATTGTAGAATGGCTCTACAGAGTCACAAACAAAGAACTGTACCAAATAACAAAACCCACATCAGTTGAGGACTACTAACAGCAGCAACAACTAAAATGGATAGCACATTGTTATATACCGTACCTATGAACACTAACGGGTATGTCCCAATCCTCATAAATACGTTGGACACTATTGTAAGTGGGGGTAACATGCTAAGTAGTCCACCACTGGCAGTGGTTTACCTATTTCACGCCGCTGGCGAGTATTGTATTTTGTTGATGTTATAAAGATTACCATTTCATTTCCAACCTCCGTTTTGGTTATTCCTCATTTAATAACCCTTCCTAGGTTACAACAAAAAAATAATAGCATAATGAAGATGTGAAAATTCCGAACTAGTTCAAATGAAAGGTTAGGATGGAAACCTTCATCAATCCTGGAAAGAGCGATAACAGCTACTGGACTTGAAATGCCTATTTCCTTGAATAATTATTTCAACTGGCTGCTCGGTCAATGAATACTAAATGTTTTCTTGTAAAGAAACGGTTTAATATTGCCATTTACTACCTTCTATAGGGGTTTCTGCAGTTTATTTTCAGTCTGTCATCTGCATGTCTAATGTTGTTAAGAATATGGCCGTCAATAATGAATCCTGATAGGACTTCTAATTCTCTCAGGATTGCTTCACTGTAAAGGTTGAATAAGTCCAGTAAGAAGAGACAGCCTTTGTTTTAAACCCCTTTCTATGTCTGTGCATTTAGTGAATTCATTTTCTATCCGTATGCAGGCGGTTTGCTCCTTCGAGAAGTTCTGGATTATTCTAATATCCTTCCCATATAATTTGAAGCTTACCTAGCAGTTATGACAGTTCTCTTTGGTGGACCTTGTCAAACGCATTTGCACAATCTATAAAACATAGGTATATATCTTTTATATTTGGACTGATATTTCTGGTAGCATTCTGAGCATGAAAATTGCATTTCTTGTTCCAGTGTTTTTAACGAACCCGCACTGTTCTTGTCCTATTTCCCGTTTAATTCTGATTAAAAATTTGTAAATAAAGAAAGATCCCTGAAAGACGGAACGTAGCTGTTCTCGATGACTAAGACCTAACGGGTGAGAAAAACAGATGAATAATTAGCTAATTAGCTGTAGAACTTATGATGACGGCTGAGCCGGTAATTACCGGAGCACTAGTAACTAGACCTGAAGGAGACTTGTGGAAAGAATGTAGCAGTTTTGAGGAAGTGAATTAGCGCGGTATTTACCAATTACCGAGAATAGTGAGTACGGTGCTGGACACATGAAGGTGACTTGCTTGTCAAGTGATACCTAGCGATGGTCATATAAAATAACTGGAGGAAATGTGAGTGTAATATGAATAGACGACGGTAACAGAGAGGTTCTTGTGAAGAACATATTAAGATCTTAATAGGAAGCCAAGGGACGAAAAACAAACAAAAAACATCCCCCAAATAAACGAACGATGAGAGAAAAAGAAGACAATAAATAAAAATAATTAACAAATTTAAGTGTATAGATAGGTGGACATAGATATAAATAGACAAAGAGATCGTTAGATATGGACTGACAAACACGCAAACAGATAGACAGAGGGATAGATATATAGTTAGATACATAGATATATGAAGAGCGAGATATATATGAATAGAGTGAGATACATACAACAGATAGATAGATATGAATAGACTAAAATACGAAAACATAGAATTGATATGAAAATACTAAGCTCTAGTCATGATCAAAAAGGGGTGTGGAGATAGATATAAAATGAAGAGAACATGAATAGACTGAGATAGAAAGTCAAATATAAACAGATTGAGACATGTATGTATGTATGTATGTATATATATATATATATATATATATATATATATATATATATATTGATAGAAAATTACGAACGGATTGAGATAGATAAATAAATATATATATGAACAGACTAAGATAGATATGGACAGCGAGATAGATAATTACGAACAGATTGAAATGGATAGATAAACAGACTGGAATAGATAGTTAAGTAAAGATATGAACAGAATATTATCTATCTATATCTATATATATCATTCTGTTCCTATCTCTATTACATACATTGTCATACACAGACTGTTTCTCTGCATCACAGCTCTTCGGTGTGGCTAGACGTCCGATTGCGTCAAGCCGGGATCGAAACCTGACCGACTTGGCATCAGTTAGAGATCCTACCTCTGGGCTATTGTCGCACGGCAGCAAGAAAAGAGAAATTTTAACGTTTTCTTTCTTTCTCTCTCTCTCTCTATATATATATAAGGACAGATAGATGGAAACAGAATATATATATATATATATATATATTAGGACAGATAGATGGAAACAGACACTGTGTGTGTGTGAGAGAGGGAGATGTGAACAGCCTGACAAATATCCTGGCGAGTATAAAAGCGAATAGAAACAGTAAAGAAAGTGAACCATTAAATGCTCATTGAAAGAAAGGATGGCAGAATGATGTTTTCTTTTTTTTAGAGGAGGAACGAAAGTGACAGGAAGAAAAGAAACAAGATAGAACACCTCGAAGAGAAAGATCGAAAGAAGAGAGATTAGTGTCAAGGTCATTGAATGAAAGAGAAGAAAGTTTAAAATGCGGGATAGGTCTCAACAAACGACGTCCACAGCACGTTTGAATTGAAAACAGGTGGCCCAGATGTACTTCTTTCCTTTATTGAATTTTATTTCATTGCCTTTTTTTTCTTTTTCTTTTTTTTTTGCCAATTTATTTCTGCTTTTTTTATTTATTTATTCTCACTTTACTTCTTTTGGTTTTCTTTATTTACTCCCAGCGGCCATCTTATTTTTTCCTTTTTTTGTTAATCCTCTCCCACATTTATACAAATGTATATTTCTTACGTTTGCGTTACGTCCATTCTCCTTCGTTTAGTCCTTGAATTGTCTCCCTTTATCAATTTCGTTTCGTTTGTTTCTTCCTCCAGTCTGGCTTATTCATTTATTTCTAAGCTAACTTCTCTTTCTTTCCTTCCTATGTCTTAAATACGCAATTTTCCTCTTTTCTATTTCAAGTCTTTCCATCTCTACGTTATTTATTACATTCTATATCTCTTTCTACTCTTTTCTTAGATTCTTTCTGTCCTGGCTCTCGCTTTCTTACATTCTCTTATCTTCGTTTCTTTTCTCTCTTTTATTTCTTTCGGCATTGATTTCTGTTTGCTTCCAGTTCAAATCTTTCTTTCTTTCTTAATCCGTTAATTTCTATCTATCTATCTATCTATCTAAATCCGTTAATTTCTATCTATCTAAATCCGTTAATTTCTATCTATCTATCTATCTATCTATCTATCTATCTCTCTATCTAAATCCGTTAATTTCTATCTATCTATCTATCTATCTATCTATCTAAATCCGTTAATATCTATCTATCTATCTAAATCCGTTAATTTCTATCTATCTATCTATCTATCTAAATCCGTTAATTTCTATCTATCTATCTATCTATCTAAATCCGTTAATTTCTATCTATCTATCTATCTATCTAAATCCGTTAATTTCTATCTATCTATCTAAATCCGTTAATTTTATCTATCTATCTATCTATTCCGTTAATTTTTATCTTTATCTATCTATCTATCTAAATCCGTTAATTTTTATCTATCTATCTATCTAAATGTTAATTTCTATCTATCTATCTATCTATCTAAATCCGTTAATTTCTCATCTATCTATCTATCTATCTAAATCCGTTAATTTCATCTATCTATCTATCTATCTTCCGTTTTTCATCTATCTATCTAAATCCGTTAATTTCTATCTATCTATCTAAATCCGTTAATTTCTATCTATCTATCTATCTAAATCCGTTAATTTCTATCTATCTAAATCCGTTAATTTCTATCTATCTATCTATCTAAATCCGTTAATTTCTATCTATCTATCTATCTATCTATCTATCTAAATCGTTAATATCTATCTATCTATCTAAAGTCATCTATCTATCTAAATCCGTTAATATTATCTATCTAAATCCGTTAATATCTATTATCTATCTCGTTAATTTCATCTATCTAAATCCGTTCATTTCTATCTATCTATCTATCTATCTATCTATCTCTCTATCTAAATCCGTTCATTTCTATCTATCTATCTATCTATCTATCTTCCTATTTCTATCTATCTATCTATCTATCTATCTATCCATCTATTATCTATCTATCTATCTATCTATCTATCTAAATCCGTTCATTCTATCTATCTATCTATCTATCTATCTAAATCTTTTCATCTATCTATCTATTATTATCTATCTATCTATCTATCTATCTATCTATCTATCTATCTAAATCCGTTCTTTTCTATCTATCTATCTATCTATCATCTATCTATCTATCCTGGCATTTCTATCTATCTATCTATCTATCTATCTAAATCCGTTCATTCTCTATCTATCTATCTATTTCTTTTCATTTCTCTATCTTTATTTCTATCTATCTTCCGGCTATCTATATCTATTTCTAAATCCGTTCATTTTATCTATCTATCTATCTTCATCTATCTATCTAAATCCGTTCTTATCTATCTATCTTATCTATCTAAATCCGTTCATTTCTATCTATCTATCTATCTCTCTATCTAAATCGTTCTATCTATCTATCTATCTCTCTATCTAAATCCGTTCATTTCTATCTATCTATCTATCTATCTAAATCCGTTCATTTCTATCTATCTATCTATCTATCTAAATCCGTTCATTTCTATCTATCTATCTATCTATCTATCTAAATCCGTTCATTTCTATCTATCTATCTATCTATCTATCTATCTATCTATCTATCTATCTATCTAAATCCGTTCATTTTCTATCTATCTATCTATCTATCTATCTATCTATCTATCTATCATCTATCCTGTTCATTTCTATCTATCTATCTATCTATCTATCTATCTATCTATCTATCCGTTCATTTTTATCTATCTATCTATCTATCTATCTATCTATCTATCTAAATCCGTTCATTTCATCTATCTATCATCTATCTATCTATCTATCTATCTATCTATCTAAATCGATTTCATTTCTAATCTATCTATCTATCTATCTATCTAAATCCGTTCATTTTCTATCTATCTATCTATCTATCTATCTATCTATCTATCTATCTAATCCAGTTCATTTCTATCTATCTATCTATCTATCTATCTATCTATCTATCTAATTCAGTTCATTTCTATCTATCTATCTATCTATCTATCTATCTATCTATCTATCTATCTATCTATCTAAATCCGTTCATTTCTATCTATCTATCTATCTATCTATCTATCTATCTATCTATCTATCTATCTATCTATCTAAATCCGTTCATTTCTATCTATCTATCTATCTATCTATCTATCTATCCATTATCTATCTATCTATCTATCTATCTAAATCGTTAATTTCTATCTCTATCTATCTAAATCCGTTCATTTCTATCTATCTATCTATCCATCTATCTATCTATCTATCTATCTATCTATCTATCCATCCAAATCCGTTCATTTTCTATCTATCCATCCATCTATCTATAAATCCGTTTCATTTCTATCTATCTATCTATCTCTCTATCTAAATCCATTCATTTCTATCTATCTATCTATCTATCTATCTATCTATCTATCTATCTATCTATCTATCTAATCTAAATCCGTTCATTTCTATCTATCTATCTATCTATCTAAATCCGTTCATTTCATTTCTATCTATCTCTATCTAAATCCGTTCATTTCTCTATCTATCTATCTCTCTATCTAAATCCGTTCATTTCTATCTATCTATCTATCTATCTATCTATCTATCTATCTATCTAAATCCGTTCATTTCTATCTATCTATCTATCTCTCTATCTAAATCCGTTCATTTCTATCTATCTATCTATCTATCTATCTATCTATCTATCTATCTATCTATCTATCTATCTATCTAAATCCGTTCATTTCTATCTATCTATCTATCTATCTATCTATCTATCTATCTATCTATCTAAATCCGTTCATTTCTATCTATCTATCTATCTATCTATCTATCTATCTATCTATCTAAATCCGTTAATTTCTATCTATCTATCTATCCATCTATCTATCTAAATCCGTTCATTTCATCTATCTATCTAAATCCGTTCATTTCCCCATCCATCTATCTATCTATCTAAATCCGTTCATTTCTATCTATCTATCTATATCTATCTATTTCTATCTATCTATCTAAATCCGTTCATTTCTATCTATCTATCTATCTATCTGTCTATCTATCTATCTATCTATCATCTATCTATCTATCTAAATCCGTTCATTTCTATCTATCTATCTATCTATCTATCTAAATCCGTTCATTTCTATCTATCTATCCATATCTATCTATCTATCTATCTATCTATCTATCTATCTATCTAAATCGTTCATTTCTATCTATCTATCTATCTATCTATCTATCTATCTATCTAAATCCGTTCATTTCTATCTATCTATCTATCTATCTATCTATCTATCTATCTATCTATCTATCTAAATCCGTTCATTTTATCTATCTATCTATCTATCTATCTATCTATCTATCTATCTATCTATCTATCTAAATCCGTTAATTTCTATCTCTCTATCTATCTATCTAAATCCGTTAATTTCTATCTATCTATCTATCTATCTATCTCTCTATCTAAATCCGTTCATTTCTATCTATCTATCTAGTTTTTTATCATGTTCACCTTTGTTTGTTTCTTTATTTTTTATATTTTCTTCTTCTCTCTTTCCCTTCTTTGTCTTTTATTTCACTTGAGTTTTTTATTACCTTCACTATTCTTTATTCTTTCTTTCTTTCTTCTTTCTTTCTTTCTTTCTTTCTTTCTTTCTTTCTTTCTTTCTTTCTTTCTACTCCTCTTCATTTATTTTATTTTTCTTACTGTCTCTATTGTCTCTGTTTCTTACGTTTTCTCTCATTTATCTTTTTTTCCCACGAACCTCTCTCTCTCTCTCTTTTACGTTTTCTTTCCCTCCTCTCTATTTCAGCTGTCATTTTTACTCGTTTTCTTCCCTTATCTGTTTTTCTCACTCACGCCTCTCTCTCTCTCTCTCTCTCTCTCGCTTTCTCTGTTCCTTACGTTTTATTTCCCCCTCTTTCTCTCCTCTCTATTCCATCTCTCCTTTTTAACACGTTTACTCCTTCTTTTCTATTTTCTCACTCGCATCTCCCTATTCTTTACATTTCCCCTCTCATTTCCCCTCCTCTCTATTTCACCAACAAATCAACATCAACCTCACTCCATCCCAAAATGATAAACTACCAATAACAACCATAATATAAACTACATCCAGACTCAAATCCATAATAAACCAACCAAGACAGTTACAATCAGTCATCTCTACCAACCAGCCAGCTACTAACCAACCAGGCAGCTACTAATCAGATAACTAACCAATTAAGCAATCAACACGCTACCAAACAACGAAATACGAATGACAAGTCAACGAAAAATCAATCAAGAAGCTACCAAGTACAACGAAATAACATACTACCAATGAAAATAAATCAACTAATCTAGCAACCAACCAGCTATCAATAGCAACTAATTGCCAAGCAACTATAAATAACCACCAGTCAACCAAGTTACTAGCAAAAAACAACCCCCGCCCAAAAAAACATAACAAAAAACGCAATCA